TAGGGAAAGTTCCTCGTGAGTACAAAATATCTAACTGCCTGTAAGAAATTAGAAGGGTGTGTCTGATATTAAAAGAATAATTTAAATTTTGCATAGGATTTCTAGCCAAATGTCATCTGAGGAAATACATTTCAGATCTGTTTTCAAGCTCTGCTTTACCTTTAAAGTTAGTTTGGTGTGTTACTATTGAATGACCTTTAAAACTAAGCAAATGTATGTTTAATGCTGATTGGACTGTAATACTTTGTCAGAAAGAAAGGTTGAAAAGTTATTACAGGAATTTTAAACAGGTATTTAGAACAGCAAATGAGTTATTGAAAAAAATTAGATATGTGCAAGTGCACACAAAGTTATTGTTTCTACTCATGGGCCAGCCTCACTATGAAAGCAACTGTATGAGCTAGAAAACCCTTTCTCCAGGACAAAGTGAAGCACAGCAGGTCTATGAGAACTCCAAAAAATAGGTGTTCACTTGCATCATTGCCACACTACGTTTTTTGTGTTACTTCATAGAAAAGCTTACTCTTTAGTCTTCTCTTTTGAAATCCAGAAGTTGGTTGGCTTCATGCTTTCATGATTTCATGATCCATCCACTTTTCCTTAGAAGTGGTCTTGGCATCAGCATTTAGTCATGAGAAGTTCCAATGAAGCTCAAATCGTTTCATCTCCTCCTCTGATCTCTAAGCTGCTTAAGAATGTCTCTGGATACCACTATGATGGCAGGTTTCCCAAATGTGTGTTAGTTCTGGTGCCATCCAGCTTGGATGAACTTTGGGGTTTTTTTAATAATTTCAAAATATTATTGTCTATGGTTGGTAAGGCTTAACACTTTCTTAGTAAGAATGACATGAGCCAGTACAATACAAGAAAATAGACACCCCTGCCATTCTTGAGAAGCAAATCTATTTTTAGCATCCAGAGTAACATTTATCTAAACCAGACAAGTATTCTACATTGTTTTCTTTTTCTCCTTTTTTAAAGTTTCAGGTAAATGAAACTAAAAAGTAATTTTTAGACTTTCTAAGCTAATGTTATTCTCACAGTTACCAGCTGAAGAGCCTATGAGATCACCACACTTTCACTTGCCCAATTTTTTTTCTATTCTCTTTTCAGTCAGAATCAGTATCACTTTAGGTAATGTGAAATGAGAACTTAAGTATGCAAGTCAAGGCAAGACCAATGCATTCAAAGTTTTGATAGTTTGC